TTTGCAGGGCACTGATATACGTCAGTTACGACATGCTGAAGAAGCGGTCATACAGAGACGACCCGGATCATAGGATGTCCCCGGGAGCATACCTGCTCTGTTCCGCTCAAGCGAGTTCGCACATCCATTCCCTTTTCTTTCTATAATAGTATCTCAAACTGAAATTTACAGGCGCGGTCACAGCTATAATTACTAACCCTATATGGGTCGTAAAAGTGCGCATGTTTACGACGCGTGCCGATTCACCAACATCCTACCTAAGCCTTTCACGTACGTTCGTCTTGTTTCATTTTCATTTGTTAAGCGGGTCGTGTCATCTTAGATGGTATTTCCTCGATATGGAGGCAAGAGGGCTTCTCTGGTTTGTGGAAAGGGACTAGTTTGGCTTTGGTCGGTGTGAGCAACGGCGCGGTGCAGTTCATGGCATACGAAGAGATGAAACGATGGGGTTTCGAACGAAAACGAAAACAGTTTGCAAAGGCCGGAAAGGTGATGGGACCGGAGGACGACAAGCTCGTGAGTCTATCGCTCTCTTTTCTTTGTCTCGTATTTAACGATATTGTCTAGTCGAATGTATCTTATACTTTTATGTCAGGTGCGAGCAAGATATGGGCGCTTGCGCTTACCTATCCATACCAGGTCATCCGCTCTCGAATACAGGTGAGAGACGATTATTGTTTACTCCGTCACATCTTCATCCTCATTTCAGAACAATGCCACAATTCGCCTATATCCTAACATACCGACCACCATCAAACGCACTTGGCAAGGCGAAGGGATTCGTGGGTTTTATCGTGGGATGGGGACGAACCTCGTGCGCGTTCTTCCTGGAACTTGCGTCACTTTTGTTGTATACGAGAACCTTGCATGGTTATTACGGACATCTGCAGCGCGCAGGGAGGCAAAGAGACGAACATGAATATCGAGGAGCATTAATCCACAAAATTATAATAATGCGTCGCAATATTAGAAAAGTCGCTCTCTCTTAGAGTCATTTTTATCTCGAGTTTCGTCATCCCATGGTCCATGGATAGATACATCAATGAGGACGGCCTTAACAGGGTTTGGTTAAATGTTGCATAAATATTAAGATTCAGCAAATATAGGCGGTCTTGATCAAACAGTGGGGACGTACTACCCATATCACTGCCATCCTCTTTATATCGACACATTCATTCACTCCATTTATGAAAAATGCTGCAGTTGGTCAGCATTTGCTCTCAGGTCAGAACAACTGATGCGCCTCTCATTGCACGGCTTGACATCTTCTGACTTTTCAGGTGCCCTCTCTGGGTTTGGGGGAGCGATCTTATTACAGCCTCGTGAGCACCTTGGGGAAGCTCTTAGTATCCGATTACATTCAACTTGGTACACAGTCGACCTCCTGAAGACCAGGATTCAACAAGGAGATTCTGCTTTGAATGCCGGGTAGGCTTCATGTACAATTGTATTGCTCAACAACTCATGTCTCTGAAGCAATACAACTATTATATGGCGTACGACTAAGGATATTATCCGGAACGAAGGCATAAAAGGGTTATGGACGGGTACAAGTGCCACATTGGTTCGGTGCGTTCTACTATATTTTGCATCTCTCTCGTCGATGACTTTTTCTACACCAGCAATGTTCCAGGAGTGGCCCTCTACTTTACGAGCCTGACTTATCTACGTTCTATCATGGCAAAGTCGCCCTATTTTTCCGCACGCCAGCAGCACAGCCGCGACAGCTCTAAAACCGTCCTTCCGAAACTGTCTAGTCAGGGCAACCTCATAGCAGGCGCGACCGCTCGAGTCGGAGTCGGATTCATCCTCAACCCATTTTCTATCTTGAAAGCGCGTTTTGAGGTTCGTGCGGTCGCGTAAACCACTTTGATTTTAATATCCTAGCGTTACGCAGAGTGAGTTGCATGCATACCGTAGTTTATCCGGCTCGCTTCTTTCTATCGCCCGTATGGGACCGTCTGAACTTATGCGCGGATTCGTTGCGTCGTCGCTGCGGGATGCACCATACGCCGGTCTATTTGTCGTCATATATGAGAGTATTAAACGCGAGACAAGTAAGATCGTTCCTGGTGATGCAAGAATCTAACTCATGTGTTCCAGCGTACTTCATCCCAACAGCATATGCAGTAGGCATACATAGCTTCTCAGCAGCATCTGCAGGTGCCGTCGCCACGATGGCGACACACCCATTTGACGTTATAAAGGTCATTTCTTCAGGCCGTCTCACCTTCTAGAATATCTGATGGCTTCCTCAGACGAAAATGCAAGTTCGTTCAGAAGACAAATACCGTGGCTTCACTACAACTGTCATTAGAATTTTCAAGGCTGGTCCCGCTTGTTTCATGTTTGAGTTGTATTCTCATCGCTCAATTCACAGCAACGTGGTGCAGCCGGTTTTTTCGACGGCGCATCTCTCCGCATGTCTAGGAAAATCCTCAGCTCGGCAATTGGATGGGCTGTATTTGAAGGAATGCTGCTCTTCATGCAAACGTGACGAACTATTTAACAATATTATCCATTGATACAACTCAAGCCCGAATCTGTTGGTCATCGAGAGTACTCTTGTTGGATGAACTTTGCGATCGTTTGCAATTGGATATTTGACGTCCCCTCGTAGATTGCACCCTGTAAAGAATACCAGCTGAATAATATAATCTATTCAGTCAGAGCGTCACTCACGATCTTCGAGTCTCTCCAGAATTTCTCAATCCCCGTCTCCCTTGTGAACCCGACACCTCCGCACCACTCGATAGCTGACCCGCTCACATCTTGAGCTACCTGACTAGCCCAGTACTTGGCCATTGCCGCCTCCTTCGTGAAGCTTCGACCTTCCTCCTTCCGCCGTGCTGCATTATATGTAAGCAGACGTGCAGTTTCGAGCTCAACTGCAGCCTTTGCAATTTGGAACTGCATGCCCTGGAAGGTTCCAATTGGCTGACCAAACTGAGTCCGTTGGTAGGTATAAGGAACAGCTTTGTCAAATGCGCCTTGAGCGAGGCCCAACATTTGAGCAGCAATACCGATGCGACCTATGGAAGTGAGCTTTCATAGTGTCGACAATGAATATTGCCCACCCTCGTTCAGAATTTGGATGGCAAGCTGTGTTAGGAAAACTCAGCGATTTCTTCGCCTGAATCAAACCACTGACCTTGTAGCCTTTGCCCTCACCGCCTATGATGTTCTCAGCTGGTACTCGGAGATCGTCAAAATTAAGTGTGCATGTCGATGACGCTCTAATTCCAAGTTTCTCTTCCTTCTTGGCTATTTGCACGCCCATCTCTTTCGTTGCAATAAAGCAAGTAATACCCTTGTAGCCCTTGCTTGGATCGACCTAGGGGCTCTTTCAGCCAATAACGTAAAGCGGGAACAAGCAGAATTCACATTGGCAAAGATGAGGAAGATTTCAGCCTCATGCGAATTGGTGATCCACATTTTGGATCCGTTGATAACCCAATGGTCTCCGTCCTTCTTTGCCCTTGTCTGCAGCGCGAAAGCATCTGAACCTGACGCAGGCTCGGACAAGCAGAATGAACCAAGCTATATGTACACATGAGCGCACATGCAGGAAAGTTCGTGTTCAACTCACCTTTGACTCCGACAGTAAAGGCAACCACTTGTCTTGCTGCTCCTTCGTGCCGTACGTGCGCAGAATAGTGTTCACCAGGGTGTTGTGCACATCACACATGACAGATACGGAGGGGTCTATCTTTGCAAGCTCCTCGACTGCAATAATTGCGGATACAAAGGAGGCCTCTGCACCTCCGTGCTCGACGCTTGTCTCTATGCCCATGAGCTGCAGAGTGGTGTTAGCATGCTTTAGAAAGAGACGTGTTTGGATGCCGACCCCTTGCTCAAAGAGACCCTGAATGATAGTTGGGTCCATAGATTCTTTCTCGTCCATTTCGCGGACCTTGGGGCCAACTACGTCTACCGCGAAGCGCTTCACTAAACGTATGTGATCGGTGTCGCGAACGCAGGTAGATACAAAGATCAACATACCTGAATCACGAAACATGTTCTCCTCCTCCGTGAATGTGTCCAGCGAGTTGAGTCGGAGTCCCTCTGTCCGTATTGCAGACATAAATAATGTTCTGGGTAAGGGATTACAGTGACTTGTACGACCCCTGCAACTTGAAGACCACGTACCTAGCTGGCTCGACCAGTCTTGTTGGACGATGCTTGGTAGCTCGGAGTGCTCGTGATGCGACGCGGAACATGTCGGTGAAAGCGAATAACAAAGCTAGAAAGTAAGCGTGCGCACAATACAGCCGCATGACATCAATTTAAATACTGGTCCAAGTTTGGTCCAAGTAATCACATGGTATCGCTTGGTCGGATCTTCTCTCTTATCATAGCTTAATGCCATAGCGTTGATGCTGAGCGTTCTAGCGCACATAATGCATGGTGATACTGCAGCGAATTTGCAAATGCCGGACCATTGGCGGGTAAATCAATGACGACCAATCATCAGTGAATTCATGAGTCCTTGATATTGTAGCCGTGAGAACGATAGAACGACATAATTATGTTTCTGTCAAATATGGCCATTTATACTCGAAAAAATCTGTGTTGTTGATACATAGACATGTATATATGCAGATCTAGACTACAACGAGGAGTTCGTGAAAATATCGCGACATTGCGGCATCACAGCCAGTAAGAATTTCTAGCGTAATTGTGTGCCAAGTGTTAAGCATTCTCATTTGTCATCATATCTGGTTAAAATTATAAAGCTAGTTAAGACTTTCTCCTGAAAAGCGGCCTGAACACCTGGCATCATATCTATATTAGTATTGAAGCTTGTGACCAGGGTGTGACATTGCACCATTATAGCCGGTCAGGGGTGATAGGGTAACTGTGTCCAGGTTGTTGAGCATCCGCGTTTTTACTCATTTGTCCTTTGAATTATAAAGTTATTGAAGACTTTCCCATGAAAAATGACTTTGGCATTGCTCTTAAATATATTTTAGCATGAGAGCTTGTGACTATGATGCGACATGGCACCATCACAGCCAGTAAGGAGTGGTAGGGGAATTATGTCGACTTGTGAGTAGCTTTTAGACTACGAGCAACTTGAGTCATCATACATACCCATGGATGCCCGCAAGTCTAGCCCGGTATGAACAGTCATAACAGATCTATGACCTTTCTTTTTTTGCAGCCGACGAGGAATGGTTGTATACTTTTTATATCTTTGTTATATATTGTCATTTTATCTTATCTAGGTGTGCTACCAGCTACCACAGGCACCGCTCCCAATATCTCTTGGCTCTCCGACGAGTCCTCAGTAGCAACATTCTCAAGTGCCTCGATTTCCTCTATATACGAAACGTCCGGATCCCTGCTCAATCCCAGTGAAAACAATCAAGATAGAGGTCGATACGTATCGAAAGCTGGGCTATCCTGCTCATCTCAACGGTCGATCCTCGCCGTTTTTGTGCGTGTCCTTCTGAATTGATGTTCATGGGACTAGGTACTGGCATTATCGACGGACATGGATAATAGCACAGGAAGCAAAATCAATACCATCTATATGATGGGAAGCTGCAGACGAGTTTGCCGAGGCAGCATGTAGAGATGGATCTGTGATAGAGCCCCTATGATGCTGGCGTCTTGCATGATGAGCTCATCATTGTGATGAAAGGCAAGTCCATCTCTCGTGTCAGAGATGTGGGACGGCCAGATTAGTATGGCATGTCCCAATTCATCGTCAAGCAAAGATTCAGATAGGTTGTATGACAGGGCCTCGAATGGTGAACTGTTAGAAAAGTGGCGGGAAAAATATGCTTTGTTGCCCTCGCCTCACATTCATCTAATGGTGCCTGTGACATTGCCTCGCGTGTCTCTGCTTCATCTTCAGATGATGAAGGGAGAACAGAAAGATTGGAAAGGTCATGAGGCGGAGATGGAGTGCGGAAGTCAAGAATGGAAGTGCTTGATGCAAGACGGCGTGGTGGAGTTGTGAGCGCGAAGGTGGGAATGTCAACAAGGTGATCGTAGCCTTCTCGGTTTTGCTGGGTCACAACTTCGGGGGCGAGATATGCAGGTGTACCGCACATAGTCTGTGAAACATAGACCCATCAGTGATATGTTAGAAAGTCAAAAGTGGAATTGCTGACTCTGAGGAAAGTGACACTATTGACAACCTTAGCGAGACCAAAGTCGGCAACTTTGACAGTGGGGGATTTTCCGCAGTTAGCAGCACGTTCTAAATGGCCAACATTCATAATGGAATCAACTCCTTCAAGGGAAATTCATTACCTCGGGCTTCAGGTCACGGTGCGCGATCCCTTTGCTATGAATGTACTTTGAAACAGGCGACAGGTCAGATGATTTACGGTCTCATACGGCGAGCTGACCTACTGCAAGGGCATCGCAAACTTGCACGATTATGTGGACAGCCAGTGGTTCCTCTGAAAATAAACTTGAGAATTACCAAGCATCGACACAACCTGAGAAGAAAATTCGTCCCAAGGAGCGGAACTGGTCATTGTCGGTGTTCCTAGAGGAGTGAGGGATGAGGCATCGCCTGCTCTTGGGACTGAGAGTTATTTAATGGAGAGTCTGGAGTATGAGGTCGGAACGAGGTCGCTGAAGTTGAAGAAAGAGCTCTGTGAAGACATGCTTCATCATTGGAAAAAACACCAGGTGTTTGAACGAGTGAGCGTTGTCTTGGTGGCGAGGATGGTGGAGACAAACCTAGACACCAGAACCTCTGTCTCTGGCTCGCTGGGAGGATCTTCATTTAGCGGGCCACGCGTTGTCTTCCGGCTTGCATTGTCACGTCCTTTTAGTTTCCTGTCTATTCAGGGTTAGAAAGAACCAAACATCATGATGGTGGAGGTATTACCTTTACATGGTCCTCAAGTGTCGTTCCTATACTAATGTAGAGGTCCGAGACTTCGTTTCATGCTCTTTGAGGCTCTAGCTCTGTGAAATGGAATGACGGGGGTGAAATTCAGGATAGATAGAGGTGGTATACCATCATCATCTGAAATTCTCTAGGTATTTGTAATCCAACGAAGGTGATGATTCACGTAATGATTCAATTCGATGTATAAGATTCAAAGGGAGTATCAGAAAGATATATAGTCGAACTCGTCCTCGTCCTCGTCCCCACACTCTTCGTTCTCATCCCCAATTTCCTCATCCAGTTCCCCGTCAGTAGACTCATCATCGTATTCTTCAAGACCCTCGACCTCGACAACCTCTTCTTCCTCGGCGCATTCTTCATCACCCGTGCTTTCGCTGACCTCTTCAGGGTCTGTCCCTTCACTACCGTTGTTGCGAAAACAATCTCTAGTGATTTTCCGCAATATTACCGAATGCCCCACACCGAAGTGATTATATCGCATATACATATCTTGATCGACGAATCTGGTCCAAACCTTGAGCGTTGAAGCACCACGAAGATATTTCACTCACATGCCGACATAATGCTCTTCCCAGTCATCCGATTGTCCCGCAGGGCGTGCCAATGATTTTCCATAGCAAAGCGCGCTTACGCTACGGCCTGAGGCAAACACAGGAATTAAATGGGCACCACGGATTACCTGCCCTGGATCGAGAAACCCAAATGCATCTTGGTCCGACTCCTCCACAAACACAATCTTGGGCAGACGGGCATGAAACGTGCCGGATTTATGATTCCGTAATGCTGCCAGCCATCTAACCCAGAGGACCTCAATGTGCCGTTTCACGGGTTGACCTCCATCATTAAGCCATACCTCCATGTGGTAGATACCCAATACACGGGCATACCAGTATGGGTGGCTAGGTGTAGTCTCCCCAGAAAGTACCATGACGTCTCCATGGGTTCGGGGGTTGATGGTGTTGTATTCGCGCCGTAAGTCGTAGGTCGTATAGTGTACTTGCATGGTCTGGACGGAGTAGATGGTGTTGTTGGGAATTATGACGGAGTTACGCTCCTCGTTGGTGAAAGCATGGTCACAGTAGCTAATATCTAGCTCCCGGAACCTATATAAGATATGATCTCTCAGTTTCGGTATGAAATTCTGAGAATTTCTGTGAGTAAATTATAAGGTGTGTCCAAAATGCACTACCTTAACAGCCGGATCGCCATCATGTTCCCGGAGAAAGGTAAATATATTGATTGGATTGTTCCGGGTACTTGCGATATAGTGATGCTTGTCAGACAACGATGAGGGGGGTGGGGCCTCAGCGCATGGTTGTCTACCAGAAGAGGATTCACCCCCTGATTCTGCTATCTGCCGTAACACACGGCGCCTGCATTCGTGCTTGGCCAATTGTGCTGGTGTGTCTAACTTGCTGGTCAGTGGATAAAATGCTTTTAGGGCTCTATGAGCGAGCTCTCCCTGGCCAAGCTTAATGTCAGGTACAGATACATAATATGAATGCAACTGCTACGCACAATTTGAGTGGTGAATGAATCTGTGGTCCCGAAGAACTTGATGGTTCTCACATAATCACCCATAGCATGAAACTTATACGTACCCAAATTGAACTTCTTTGGCTTCGTCCCGCTTGATTCTGGAAAATTAGTGCTGGTATCAGAGCGTTGAGCGGCCTTTCGTTGGCAGGATGCTTTCTCTTTCGGTAATTCGACAGTACTAAATGCAGCACACATGTAGCTTTGAAACTTTCTGAGCATCCGAGTCAGTTTCTTGAACGTTACTTCGAGAAGAGTAAGAGTGGACTCCGAATGAATCCTGAGCTTGGCGAGGGCATGCCACTCTGCAAATTGATACAGTAGAGACTGTACCACCGCATCGTGGTCAGAGGGGAACAGCCCCTCGAATACCGGAATGGCACACTGAGAATATTTCAGCAAGTCGAATGCGGAAAATGAATAACTCGTAAAAACCTGTAAAATATCTTCAAAATCGTGTGCCGCTAATCTCTTCATTTCAGAGGTATTGTTTGAAAACCTGCGGATTACGCCGTTACCGAAAGTTGGGACCTGTCGAAATCTACAGTAAGATTTTGAGTCGACGATTTGTTAGCAGGTAATAACAACACTCCGTAACAACTCCTCGTACCTGCTATCAAGGATTGCAACAAGCTGACTACCCTTGGTACTGAGAGCATAAAGTAGCCTAATGAGGTGCATGAATAGCGCCTTCCAGGTGCCCAACTCGCACTCATGCATGAAGTCGACGACGAGCATGCGGAATGGGTCGAGGCCGAACGGTCCAAGTTTCTCGACAAATTGATTCTGCACATAGATAGCGTGTAGCTGATGATGAGAAAGCAAGGAAATAGTTGTACTTACAATAGTAGGTACCCAGGAGCCGTCTCCAAGAGTATGGTCTACTTTTGCACCGTCTACGGTATTTCCCAATTGATAAATAAACTCGCGAGCCTTGATGACCTTCACCATGAAATATACTCGAAGATTGGTCATACGACTTTTCATGTCGGATGCGAGCCCAAGAAAATTAAACAAACCCTTCGGTGTAAGACAGCGAGGGCAGGGACACAAGCCCATGTCCTTGATAGTCGCAATCAAAACTCTGTACGTTGATGGGTGATTAACATTCTTGAAAAGCCCGCGAGAAACATACTTTTCAGGATAATCCACAGAATATGTGAAGATTCGAGGGAAGATTCTCCGCAGCACTCCATCAGCGCATTTCAAAACAATACCGTGGTGATATGCGTTAAGAAAGTCCTCATCCAACAAGATTTCCCAACACCCATGGAACAACTCCCTACAACAGTGTGCTTGAAGAGATGCCATGCCACTTTTCGATATGTGAGGTAGGCTACTTAGGATATCTTTGACGCTGTCGGGAAGCTAACATTATCAGTAGTAGATAATCATGCCATGTTCGTCGACTTACTGAAGGTAAAAATCCTACAATATGACATGCTCCCGATTGAGGTTGTGAACGTGCGTACTTTGTCAGATTTGCGAAATACATGTAAAGTGGCCAAGCCTTCGCAGTCCCAAAGTTTGTGAGGTGAGTGGCGTCAGAAAAAAACAACAAACCCGCAACAACACGCTCGAGTGAACAGCCAGGTTCCTTCGGCAGACGCTGAAGAGCGTCCTGAGCTTCTAGCCAAGCATTGGATGTGTAGAATTCATCATAAATCCGCTCTTGATGACCGTCCAGAGGATCTTTCCAGAGCCGTTGGAACGGTAAGAGATGGAATGCCCGGGCTTGGATATCTGCAAATGCGGTACATATTACTTCAACGAGAGGGCAATAATGGAAGCCGGGAATGGTATAAGGCTGAGGGCCATCCTCCTTTGACTTCATTGGAATATTAATAGTGACGTTAGTCTGAATCCAATCATCTGGAAATTGAATTCTTTTCCCATTCCCGTCTGTGTCCAGTTCTCTCAAGCTCCGCTTCACCGAGAAGTTCTCGAGGTGCTCGCGGTCAAAGTCCTTTGCCAGTATTACGTCTTTGACAAGGCGCGAGACTTTACTTTCGGACACAAGATTACTACCTGTGTTCATCCAAGACATAAGGCGATAGATCGTCATGTTGGGGAAGGGGTAAGGCGGCGCAAAGATATTCAATGGAGGATCAATTTCTTCGGCGACCGTTGGAGACGTTCTTGCGAGTAGCGAGGATGGAACAAATGTATCTGGCTCAAAGGAAGGCCGACAAGGGTATAATCTGCATAGTCCAAACGAGTTGAAAGTGGTCTGGAGGGTGTCTCTCAGCGTTAAGAGAACACGTAGGATTCTGGACCGAGCTGGAACTGAAGTCAAAATTTGAGTTGACTGGACATCAGGATTATCTGAATGATTAAGTTCATCTCACGAAGGTTCGAAATCATCCAAAGGTCTCGAAATTCGTCTCATTGGAAATGCGATTTCATCTGGAAGATTGGGTAATTGTAAACACATCAGATGATAGTTGCTGCCTAGAGGGAGACACAAACCTGAATTGTAATCCATCTCGTCTCCAGCATTGTTCCCCATCTCAACATCGATATGATCATTTTGTTGCGAGTCTGCGAGACTGGAGACACTTGGCCCGTAAGCCATAGACAACGGCATGAAGAGCCTACAAGGGGCAATTGGTTTCAGACTCGGACGGTCCCTTACATGTCGGACGGCTGATATTCTCTGAGATCGGCAGTGACTGGATGCTCGACTTCCAAGTATGAGAAGTTCACTCACTGACTCTGATGCAGGGGTGCTCGCCGAAGTGTGCCGAACCAAATTTGAAACAATCGCCTCTTTGGCACGATTATGTCTCTTCTGGCTCGCAAGGGTACTGACTCTCCTATAAAATTGACAGCTTGCGCGATGTCGATTGAGTCCTCTATTGTCTGTTTTCCTCTCCCAAAAGCAACCCGCAGCATTACAAGCTACCATCAGAAGAGAGAAGAGGAAAAGGCCAATCCAAAGTCTTCCCGGGAGGCGCATCACAATTAAGCCAGTTAGCAAGCGGATACCCTGACTGACATGGAGTTGATCGTTTGAAACAAGTTTGAAATTTAAACCACCGATGATACATAAAAGTTATAACGTGCGAACAACTAATTAGTAATTGCGCCAGACTATATTGCCAGTCTAATATACGTACTGGATGTCACTCGATACAACTAAAAATATAACGAACACTGAACTTCAACTCATCCTTGATCTCCAGAATCACCCAGACTGATACAACATATCTGCCCTGTGTCAGTGAATACATCATGGCAGGTCGCTCGGACTTCCTCTTTGATGTTCCCGGCGACACCATCTGCGTTCGATCTCGCGAATCAAAGCAATCAGTGGTGTGTAAACCAATGGATGTTCTCAAAAGAACATGTACCAAGTGCCGGAATACCCACGGGCAGGCATGACCATAATGATATTGTACGTTTTACAAAACCGCCCTCTAGGTGAGGCGAAGATATCTTGATGACCCAGTACATCACTGAGAGTTGCAAAATGTCGGCCACTGTCCTGATCTTTGCCAACCTCGTCAAGTACTTCCAGCGCGAACATCCCCTTTATGTTCTTCGTACTCGTGGCTTCGAGCCAGGTCAGCCTTTCTTTACGTCCATGGACGAAATAGTGTACACCTACGCTGCAGCAATACAGATGACTCGACCCAACGGTCCTTATGCCATTTCTGGTCAGAGTGACGAGTCAAACTCGTTGGTTTGATCAACATCCCCTCATATCGCCAACCGCATGCACCATGAGATTGACTGGACTTGGTGGCATGCTCAACCTTTCGTACTTCCTTGGTCTTGTGACGAAACAAGATGCCAATGAGACTGAAACTCGGAGGACAACTCAGAGACTCCGGTCCGCGTGATATCAATTGGAATCTGGATAGAATTTTGATCACTTAGAACAATAAAAGGGTCGCAGCTGTACTGACTAGCGTTGACGGCGACAACAGGACCTTCTTGAGAGGTGTTCTGTAGGCCAGAGAACAGGGGAGGCAGGAGAAACCGAGCCGGGTCGGGGAGCATGCAGATACGGGAGACAATATCGTTCCATTGCATGGTCAGTTATTGGATTTGTGAGGAATGGTCTTCAATAGACTCACCATGTGGTGTCCCGGGGTGCGACTGACACCATGCGCAGAGTTCTCCTGTTACTGAGTAGTGAGTGGTGACAAAGGTGGTGATGCCATATGGGCGCGCAGACGTTATTGTAACCACAATGACAAGGGGGTGTTGGCGTCTGGGGACAAAAAATGATCCAGCCGGAAGCATGACTGAGGCGACATTGACGAGGCAGAGGACTAGTAGGGAGCGGGGAAAGGTTACTAAAGAATGTAACGAGAGGTGAGTGGAAGTGATATAGAGAGTTTGTGCGATGGAAGTAGTGAGAAGACAAAGGTCATCAATTGACATGGGAGATGAGAGTTGGCAGCAGACGCTCCAACAGCGCAGTCCCAATAAAGGCGGGAGCGAGGAGATCCTCGGCTCGAGACCAGAAGGTCTTTGCCGCCTAATCATGATGTGGGAGGAGTAGCAGATGCTCCAACAGGGCCAGATGGCCTAAATCCCAATAAAGGCGGGAGCGAGGAGATCCTCGGCTCGAGACCAGAAGATCTTTGCCACCTAATCATGATGCGGCAGAGCTAGTAGTTGGAAACACAACATTTGGTTGTGTTTGTCGTGACAGGTATAGGCTTAGTAAATATTAGTAATACTGTCCTGTACATAATCAGTTTTGAACCCAGCAGCATGGATAACCTGTATATAGTATTACTTAGCTTATTCCCGGGTCAGTGACGAAGGATGGCAGTCTGAAATTCTGTGACACTCAAAGCTAAGTATCAAACCAATGAGATTACACCGAAGTAGTATCATAGTAACCAACTCGTAAGTAACGGTGCTCCTGATCATCTGTTGGCGCACCAACGTAACCTAAGCCTGGGTGTCCCCTAGCCAGATCGACTGATTCGATGCTGTCACGTCAACCTTTCCTCGACATCTGTTGTTCTTCACCATACTTGACTATATCGAGCACTGTCTGCCAGTCTGTCCCTGTTCTCTCCCGGCAGATGCGCTTCACGACAGTTGGAACAGGATTGGGAAAAAGTACGTTCTCGTCAGTGTCTGAACCATGATTGCCGTTAACATCGTTGATCTTCCTCTTTCGAATCTGACGAGTACTCATGCCCGTAGTTTGAGAAGCTTGGGCCTCTATGGCATCACCGCCTACACAACCAGCTCCCGCTGTCTGACCTCTCGTCAGTATGAAAAAATCAACCACGGTTGCAGGCACTCACTATGTTTTCGTCTTCTTTCTGTTCGTCAGGTTGCACGATATCAGAGTCTTTCTTCATTATCGTTTTATGAACATCTTTCCAGACCTTCCAGTGAGTCTTGTGATTCTCCCTGCATCATATCATTTGTACTCACTGACGACTTTCGCTAACTCAATTCAGAACTGTTGAAATGGAGCACCTCCACGTCGTGCGCGAGACGTATGAAACCTCTTCTCCTCGTTTTTGGGAACAACCTGAACGATTGTACAGGCGGTGATTCAGATTCATGCAACACGTCAGTAGCATCAAGCGGCCGCATAGGGATCTGAGCATCAGGACTGCCAGTGGAAGACGATGGAGGAGTTAGAAATTCTTGCAAGGGGGAAGGGGCATGGACGATGGCCTGTGTATTTGTAGGTGAGTGGATTGCGAAAGGATCTGTGAAAAATGATAAATCTGGTTCCCAGAACACCGATACATCGTCACCGCTGCCTGATGTAGAAAATTCGGACACGCGATGAATTTGGACATGCGCCAACATGTCCTTGATCCAAGTACAGTTATGATGGGCACAATAAGGCATAGCCTGAGGTGTCATGACTCCTGGTGCTGATTCTAAAATTCAAAGGTTCGAGGTTCTTATAGTTGCGTTGCCAGTGACGTACTTTCGGGTAGAGTAGAGTATGCACGTCATACCGTAACCATACTAATATATAGAGAAGTGTGATCCGAACTCGGAGGCAGGACACCTGGCGAAGTTGGCGAGGAGAAGAAGGGCACAGACATGTTCCATGGTGATCATATGTTGAAAATTGTTCGTTCGCTAGAAAACTTAACTTATTTCTCCTGAAATTCTCAATTGTAAGGAAGTCAACAAATGAGACAGTATTACTACTACTACCACTACTACTAGCCATACATAAATATTCATCTTGAACCTGAGGTAAGGAGGTGGTACTTCGAATCCCCGCAAATACCAAGAATGGTAACTTACTCATTGCGTAACGACACAACGTGGCCCACATACAACTACCAGTTTTGGTATGCACAAGTTTCATAATTTTAATTTGCTGATGTGATTCATGAACTTGCCAAGTTCACGAGTCAACAAAAATCCTACTCCCTGAAAGGCTCCTCCCACTATTATACACTCCAAAGGTTGGTACTACTAGTAATACTATAGTTACTGGACACAGGGCCGCGACAGGGGGAGTATCATAGCCCAGTCACGACGCTCAGTACTTGAAGTACACCCATAATCATAAGCAAGCGTACTGGGACGGACTGACCTGCGGCATGCAGGCAAATCACTTCTCTCATGCGTTGAAGACATTATATAAGATTACTAGTACCACAACTCGGACGCAGCCGTAATATCTGGAGAGTCAACTTGCTGGCCAGCCTCTCACAAGACTGTCACAGACTCACAGTATGGTGTGTCCGCGCATTGAACTAACCCTACACGCTCACACACTATGGAAATTCTCAGAAAACTTTCTCACTTTCACTGAACAATGACAGGCTGACAGCACTGATAATTTGTTGATAACAGTAATAGATCATACCCCATTCCTTTGAATCTCCGCATATGCCAAAATTGGTAAGTAACCTCTGTGCACAATGTATACTAAGCACAAAAGGCATTTGCCGCCATTCTGTCTTGGTCAAACTCCACGCCCACCATTCACAGGAAAAGGTCTTGAAATCTGAGATTTGACAACTCCAGCGATGTGAGGTCTTTCAAAGTCCGATGAGTATTTACCACTTATGCACTCACAGCTGCCCTCCCTTCAACCAGCACCTCAAGTTGAGCCATGAGCTTATTCACTGTTACAAGTCCATGCGAAGTTCCATGTCCCATACCTCAGGACTGCATTTCATGTTGCAAATCAAACACCTTCAGCTCTCCTCCATGCTCTCCTCCATGCTCTCCCCAATGCTCTCCTCTAAGCTTATCACCTACTAGAGCATCAGGTACTGATAACTCATATTATGATATAATGATGTACACTAACTTATACACTAGTGACAACAGAGAGCATGGCAGAGACGGATGACGACTCTGTTTTCCCTTTGACAACCTGATTCTAAACGCACAGGCAGCATTCAGCGTATTGTTGATACCTCTGCTAGGGCTGCGTCGCCGACTTCAAGTCATCAGTCTCAAAAGCAGCATTACAACAACAGTCCCACCTATTCTTTTCATCCATATCGCCGGCCATCCTCATTTCAAGAACGGCACATTTTTGATACTATGTTGGGTAGAACAGACCATGATGATTTACCGGAAACCATAGGGAGCAAGGTAGGCTCTCCCTTTTCGAGAATACACGTATATAGCTCATTATATGCACCGTGTTTCTAGACCGAAGATATTGGAGATATATTCTTGCAGCATTTAGAGACTCTTGGCCCTCACATTTTCCGCCTTGTCGTGCACTACAAGGAGGCTGTTCGCGAACGCCAACGCATGCGCCTCTATACCACATACTGGGAAGCCGAGGAAAATACAGACGTGGCACCCTCCTTCATCTTCTCTACCAGGACGCGCAAAATGAGTTTGTTCGATCGGAACAACAATCGCAAACATTACTGAACATGGCTCTTGAGAAGCATTCACCGGCTGCTATTGCCTCAGATACCAAATTCCTCGCTGCAGTCTGCGACCGCAACAAGGCATCTCTCCATCGGACTGACACTCAACTTGATGTTATAAAGGATCATATCAATAGGTCCCAGCTGTTCAGGTCGTCTGTTGATGGTGACTCAGTCCAGAAGTCGGATGCTGCCGGAGACTGTGTGCTAGTGAGCATGGCTTCTATTAGTAATAACCCTTATTGATGAATCCCGTTAGGACACGTAATTCACGCATAGAAATCATGTATATTGTCAGAACCAGTCAGTCTGGGGTCTTACCTTTCGTATTTCACGTCTGCTGTTGTTCCATCATTGTAGTAGGTGAACGTCGATTTGACCAGAGTCACTAGACTTGAGTGCTAGCTACAGCTGGTGGCAATCTTATTTATAACGGCTGCTCAATTCTAAATGTTCGTTCAGTTCGGATCCATGAGACTTGTACCTGAACGTTAAACCTTACGGCGTGCAGCGTCAACATAGTAAATTATTTACAAGCAATCTTAAAGCAGCATTATCCCAGACCTCACCGATTGAACCTTGTTATACACTGCCAATTTTGGAATTGAGCTAGCGCCAAGTAGTAATATTGTGCACGTGGTGTTGTTCTGTAACTCATAACGGTTGACCAGTATTACATGTTTTGGCCTTTTTGGCAATGTAGATTGGTCAATATCGGATTCTTCAATTCAATCCGCTTCATAAAGCGCTACTCATTGCAGTTTGCCCATATCATAACGTGAGTGCCATTCCTATCGCGGAAATCTGGACATTGAGTCAGGGTCTGACTCACCCGGCCCAGTATGCAGATTTTCTGACTTGGCGGTTTACTAACAACTTGCTGCGATGCAGCCCTCTCAGGCTGGTCAATTGCCACCTCCGACGAATGACGATATCTACCATGATCATTTCCTCGACAACACCCACGACTTCCATGCCGCCCTCAATGATCAGTATATTGCGGGCGCATCTCTGCAACCTGGTGATGGCCACAATGGACTCGGATATCGTACTGATGGTCTCGTGATGCAGCAGCGACCACCCTCTGAGCTTGGCTTTGGCCGAGGTCAGCCCCGCTGCCCAACAACAAGTCGGACTCTGAGTTTTTCTCGGGGCTTGAGAACAACTCTCACAATTTGCTCTTCGGTAGTACCATGTACCCACACCACTATCGTAGTCATGTCATGGGCGCCCGCCTCTGATGGTGCTGTGCACCATCAACTCCAGCCAGACTCGGAGGCTGGGCCCATATACTTTGAGTCAATGCCGTGGCTGCACCCTCAAATCATCCTTACTCGGCTTCGGGGCACCCTCTCTTCATCACCTTCCTAACCATCTCGGTTCCTTCTTTCAAGGATACTCTCAACCATCGCTGAACGAAGAACAAGGACGCCCTTTTACCACCAGGAAACCAGGAATACCCTCCTCGGGAGGTGATATTCAGCGCGCAGGATACCGTGACTGCTAGCAGCAATCAGCGAGGCGCCAAAAAACGTTCTACTACAACGTTTCGCCCGTACCAGTATCCGCCGCCAAAAAAGTCTAGAACGGTAGGTGACTGACATTAAGACAATTGTAAATTGCTGACGGATTCGCTACAGAGAGGAGTGAGCGGTTCAGGTTCGCAGTCCCAGGTGTCGGAGTTGCTGCCTCAATGCAGCTCCCCCTCAAACCTACCACTACATCCGTGACCCAACCTAGTATGTCGGAGCTTCCATACGACATAACCAATACTCGACACATGCGAATCGTTGCGTCCGCTAGGACAAAAATTTTGGACTATGCGGTGAACGAGCTCTCTTACCGACGGGGACGGATAGGGAGCAGGTAGTTAAACTGCAGTTGGAAATTTCTGCAACAGCAGAATATAATCAAGGTAAGTCAATACATACCCCTTTCTGGCAACGACTGAAATTTTCGGTTGTGCAACAGAGGCGTTCGGGAAAAAATGGGCCGCTTCGAATTGGAAGACGTTATACCTGTCGCTGTCGGAGCCCTGCAGGTTTATCATGCTTACGTGCAAGAAGCATGCACGCGCAGGTGTACAGCGCGGGTTCAATCTGCGTCCTCCACCACAGTCGACAACCTCCGAACCGGATCACCAGGCAGCAGAGGTTGAGGACCTGCTCGATAGTGCGACATTCCCACCCAAGTATGTTTTCGGCAAGGACGAGACTGGAGCCTTACACTTCCTTGAAAACCATGTGGTGTGGGACGTTCTTCTGAATACCGTGAGAGAGCTCAAGCTCTACGAGTACGTCACAAGCCTCAAGAGCCTTTTTTGCACGTCTGCCGCTGCTGTCAAGTGTGCTTTACGGGAACTTAGGACCGGGAAATTGGTTGAGATTCCATTTTCTGGTATAGAATTTAAATCACTACATGACTCGCTCGAAGATTACATTGACAAAGTCATCGCTCTCGACCAGTTTTTTAAAGCGATGGGAGGCCTACAATACGCTTACTTTTCTTAGGCTGCGCCAATTATGCTGTTGATTTCATAGCTCAACTTAGATAGGAACCAGTAGACTACATCATTTGCGCAATATTCAGGAGCTTTGGTAAACGCTGGTCAAGCTTCAAGGTTGTCACGCAAGTCATTTAGTAAGCGCCACAACTTGACGTGACGCGATCACAATAACGCTTTCAAGTTCAGTCACCTCCCAGTCATTTGGGACTCATGTAGACGACACTCACTCCAGCCGACCTCCATCAGTCATGACATATGCGACACCAACACTCGCATCCCTTCAACGACAAGGTTCCAGTTCTCGATTATCTGGTGCCAGCTCACCTGCCAGTTCACAGGCTAGTCATCATGGACTCGTTACGAGATCCAGAAGAAATGGAAGAAGAACGAAAGTAACGCATAAACGTGAGCGATCAAGACTTAGGCAATCATTTTCAAAATGGCTAACCGCAACATTTCTTATTGTTGTTCCATTAGTATTAGCACCGCGATACCTGGGCCAAGTACCAGTCGCCCGTCAACCACTCTGTCGCGGCCCGTTCCTCCATTTCATTGCACGGAAGTTTGCGACATCAGGATCAGTCTCGGCATGCCAGTCTCGAATTGCCAGGTAGGTGGGTTTTTCGCTTTTACGTCACCCACCTACAGTATGCGCAGGGCCAAGGGCGAGCTCATCACTTCTGATGCTGATTGTGAGATTACACTTGCTATTTTTTTGAGGCGAGCTTTATGGTATTCTAGTTAAAGAACAATACCATTCTCGTGAAGAAGATCGGGCACCAACGCGAACGCGAGTGGAACCGTCCAAAAGCACCATCACGTTCTGTCATCCCTGAGTTGCATCAGACACTCATTGGAGTTCCACCGACGCCACTCTCAAGAAATTCCTGGACGTCACCTTCTCACGTTAAATCCCTTTCGAACGGAGCGACTTCACCTCTCAGCGGCAGGGTTCTGCATAGAAGGGGTAGCGTTGCGTCGCTTCGGAGTTTTGATGATGATTGGAGCTCAAGGTCAGGTTCCATGAGCTCACAGGCAGATCGTAAGTGATTATTTCTTTTAATTCACACCACTTCAATGACTCGATCGTGATTGGATGGCTGAGCTTGACGGGGGACCGCTACCTCGAGCGTAGTGAACGAGAATGGAATAAACGACACCCACCACTCGACATTTCAAGTCTTAGCTCATCGCATTCCCACACTTACCCCAGCCGACCTCCATCAGTCACAGCGTATGCGACACCGACGCTCGCATCCCTTCAACGGTGAGGTTCCAGTTCTCGATTATCTGGTGCCAGCT